TCCCTACAATAAACCAGCTCTGCCTTGGGGACAGCAAGGAGCCCTGCAGGAAGGAGCCCTCCCCCCGCCCCCCCGCTTGGTGCACAGGGAAACTGAGGCACAGCCTCTCCTCTCCCTGCTCTCAGCTGGGACTGACTTGCTCCCACGGCTGGCACAGGATCCTTCCCTCCATCCTGAGGAAAGGCTGGCCACCCAACTGGGGAGGCAGCCTCCTTGGTGACATTAAGAGGGTGCTGGCAGGGAGGGCACTGGTCCTGCACCAAGGTGACCCTGAAAGGAGCCGGGTCCTCTGCTCTACCCTGTAGGGAACAGGGACACTGAGACATGACCACGTTACAGCAAACCTGCCTGGTTAGGACACCTCCCTGCCTGCATCCTGCCTGCTGTCTCCCTGCCTGTCCTGGGAACTGCAGGCAGCCCCTGTTCCTGCACACAAGGGCCAGGAGCCCCCAGATTCAACCCCTGCTACAGACATCTGGAGCCAAATGGCAGAAGAGGTGTCACAAAAAGGTGCCACAGTAGCCTGGAAAAGGACTGGACTGTTCTGGGTTAAGACGAGTTCTTGGTGTCAGGGTGAGAAAGACTGAAAATCAACAAGGCACTTGGCCGAGAGGCAGATTTTCCTCATGCCATCTGCTGGCACTGGGTCCTGCTGAGCTTGACGTGTCCTTGTGGTCTCTCCAGGGCCAGGGTCCATCTGGTGTGGCAGAGAGGGGAGCTGGATGGTGCCTGTGATCCACCTGGCTCCCAAAATCCCCCCAAAACCTAGGGGATGGACACCTCCTCCTCCACCTCTCTTGGCCTTGGTGCCACCCTGGAGCTGGCTGAGTGCCCTGGCAGACACCTCGTGGGCATCCACTAGCCAGGAGGGTATTACTACCCCTCCAGCCTGCCCAGCTGTGCCTCCTGGACCACCGACCTCCTCGTCTTCTGCTTCCCATCAGCTGAGCTCCCCCCATCCCTGAGCCTGGCACAGGCTGGACCAGGACTGAACCTTCAACCCCCCCATCCTTTGGTACCTGCACGAACCCTCCTCCCCAGCCCCTGTCACCCAAATCTGGGCTGGGCACGTGTGCCCAGCTTCATCCAGACACTTCAGAGCCATTATTTGGGCTCACAACCCCCACGGGAAAGACCCTCCCCAGGGACACAGGCACAGGGGTGTCACTCCCACCATCCTCCTCCCCAGGCACCAGCCCAACCACATGCCCTGCACCCCCATCCCAGGGAGGGGACACAGATCCAGCCCAGCCCCTCCCAGGACGCCTGGGCTTCCCGGGTCCCAGACCCGCACTGCCAGGGGCCACGCACCTGCCGGGGGGCTCGGGGCTGCGGGGCGGGGGGGGGAGGGAAAGTCCTCGTGCATTCGGTCCAGCAGCCAGAGCAGGAACTCGAGGGCGTCGTGCTGCGCGTTGCCCCGGAACTGCGAGCTGTGCTTGGAGACGATGTTCTGCAAGAGACCGGCAGGGAGGGCGCTGAGCGGGTTCATTAGCACCAGTCACCAAAACCCAGCCCTGCTTCCTGCCTGCAACAGCCTCTGCAGATACCACGGCCACCACGGGGACAGCAGAGCAGTGGGGACACCAGCACACGCAGCAGCTCCGTGGCCCATCACCGAATTGTCCCGGCTTTCAGCTGCCAGGAAGGGACAGCTTGCTGTGGACCAGGGGACAGAACACAGCCCAACAGCCCCATACGAGCAAGACCAGCCCACAGGGACCCACCGGTGCTACCTGCCCCACACTCTCTGATGGCATCAACTCGGTGTCATGGCCAGGGGAAGGCAATTCCCACCATTGGGAAAACTCTGCAGGTAGCAGCTCTTCCGCAAGCCCCACCTGCCCATGCCACCTCACAACCC